ACCGAAGTACGTACCCTCAGTGCTACCCTAACACAAATCCCGCATGACCTAACGTGAGATCGAACTCGGGCCGCCGCGGTAGGAAGCCGGCGACTAAACATCTGAGACGGTGGATTCCTCCAAATCGTACGCACTAAAGTAGTGTTTCTCAACCGCCGGACCGCGTCCCGATACCGGGCTCTCCTGTTATAAAAAAGAATTTACTGGGCCGCGGTTTCACAGAGGTTGAGAACCACTGTACTAGACCATACGGCGTCATATCCCAAAAATCTCTCCAACACTCCCTACAGCCACTAAATATATTAATAGCCTGACAGCGAAGTGCTCTCGTGGAGAGATTTAAAACTATTCATGATGACGTAATGTTTACTTCCTATGTACAGTCACCTCCACGGCCGGTAGATTTCTCCTTTGTGAAGCGTGGCGTCTGAAACTAATTTCCGGGCACCAAGCCCATGATCATCTATTCCATTGAATTTTGAGATGCTGAGAAGTACGGTGGCCCTCCTCCTCGAGGCAAATCAACTTTAAATAGCAACTTCCAATTATGCAGTAACGTAATTTTGTTTCAGTTGTCATGCGATATGGACTGCACCAGTTTCCTTCGTTGCACTCTTCAAAACATCCGAGCCCCACCGTCATCATTCCAGGTAGGCCCAATGATTTGCCAGCTTATATCAAATGTTTGAACATTTAAATACTCTGGGCTTTACGCCCACACAGCGGGCCCAGTTTTACACTTCGCTTGATACCCTGAATAAACCACTGTTACTTAGCGCAGTTGGTACAGCAAGTGGGTTGCTGGATAACCAAGGAATCGGGATTCGATTCCAGGCAGGGGAAAGTTTCCTCTTCAGCATAACGTCCAGCCCAACTCTGGGGCTCATCCAGCCTCATCCAGTGGGTACCGTGGCCTGGTACCCCGCGGAATGAGATGGCAGGAGCGTGAAGCTGACCACTCACCTGCCATCCAGGGTGGAGGTTAAAAATGGTGAAGCTATTTCATTCCCCCTTACGTGTCCCTGAGGTCGGGATCACTATACATTTTATTTAAACATAATTAATCTAAGACTGTTGCTGCAGAAATGCGATATGTCTGAATATGAAACGGAAATTTGAAGTTTTCTTTGAATCAGGAACAAAATGTTTACAAGAATGTTTAGTACTGTTTATGTGAGTTCTCTCGGCTGTCTGAGATTTCAAATACCCGCGTATTTCAATTTGTTTCCAGCTTTGCCAACCGCGGTTTTTTCTTTAATCTGTGCACAACAGCAAACTCCGTGACTTTAATCCGCAAGCGAACTATACCGACCGAGTGACCGCCGCTTGTCGGCGAAGTTGGTGCCAACTTCAGCGGCTAGAGGGTGTCACATCGTCAGCGCAACGGATCCCCATGGCAGTTAATTTCGGTTTGAGCGGTGCAAGGGCCGAGAAGGACCAACCCTTATACATCCATAATTTCGGTTTTCTAGACCGGAGCCACTACTTTTCCATTCAAGTTGCTACGAGGCTGATTTCTCAGAAAATCTGGTTGCGCCGGGAATCGAACCCGAGACCTCTGTTCTGCAGCCAGGAACTGTGACTATTAAGACCACAGAGGCAATCTGTGTACATACGAAAAAAATGGAGAGCTTCCGAAACAGGAAACCCGCATCAGATGCGACTACGAACGTCAGAAAACCAGTTCTCTATACTCGTTTACAAATTGCTACTGTGATGCGAACATTGTGATATTTTTATATTATTATTTTAATGCGTATCATTAGGCTCAAGCACTTTGTGACTCTAAATCTGCAGGCCCTGAACAGAAATTACGAAACCGGCCCTAACATCTCCCCCTTTAAATAATGGAAGACTGAAGCACTGCTCTCTCGGTGCGCGGTGGATTACGAACTTACGATAAGGAGCAGCCTTAAGTCCTTTTTCCCAGGTGTGCGGTTACTGTACCGTGCCAAGCACAGCGTGGCTACGGACGCGCACGGCAAGAAATCCAGGACACAGGTGTGCGCTGCTCTCAGATAACTGCGAAGTTAGACCGGCCCGTCTTGCCGCGAGTTCACAGCGAGCAGACAACACAGGAATGAAAGTACTGCTTGCAAACCGTAGATTGTTTTCTGAAATCTTGAAATAGGATGCAAAGCAAATTCTCCCTCCACCCGGAGGTAATTATGATTTCAATGTCTTGTGTTGCAGGAGGGCCATGTTGTCTCTATGCTTAACCAAACACCACGACATGAGGTATAGAGGTATACCTTCACGTATATTTTTAACCTCGGCACTTGATGGACTTGATTGGATTCATGTACCGGGTGCCAAGAAAGTGTACCATGAATGGGCATGATCATAAAATAATAGGCCCGTTGCTGTGACTAATCAAAATAATCAAAAACGCTGTTCTAGCCTCGTTTGAATCCCTGTCTCAAGATTGTTCTTAATTCTCCCAAATCTGTAGTTGAAGAATGCCGTTTTTTTTGGGATGTGGCGCCGTGTAGATCTTGTGTGAACCGACGTTTCGGAGGGACGTATCGCCTCCATCTTCAGGGCAGAAAATCCGCGAGCGAGGAAGCAGCGTGAGAGGGTGGCTGCAGTCTGCAGGCGATACGTTCCTCTGAAACGTCGGTTCACACAAGATCTACACGGCGTCATATCCAAGAAGACGGCATTCTTCATCGTCACCGTCGTGAAAAGTTCAAATCTTACAAGTCTGTAGCAGCTGCAGAAAAGACTGTCTTGCTGGAGACGAAGTTTAAATAATCAGTACGTTTTGAATGTGATAATGAGAATCGTACACCTCCAGGTTAAGACACTGCATTCATTCAGTGCTGTGTATAAAAGCCTATCCTACTTCGTCGGTTGTCCCCTCTCACCTAAGGCGTCAGCGGGGGTGTTGGGAGGGGAACACAAACCTAGCATCCACCCTGGATTACAAAAAGAAAAATAACTAAATAATAATAATAATAATAATAAAATTAAAAAAATATTACCATCCTGTGAACTTCACTATTAAGTGACTTAAATATAAGTTAGTCAGCAGCCCAGCAACTTAAGTGACTTCCTTCCATAATATATACATCATTCAGTCATTTACTGCAGGTGTAGATGCAACCGTGCATGGCTGCCTGCAGCGTTCTCTTACCGGTATCGCCGTAAAGAAATTATCGAGAAATTGGGCGAAACTTCATTAAGACATTTTGTCCTGCATCGAAGAATTGCTCTAGTTTAGTGCGTAAGTGTTCCATTATTAAGACACGAGAAAGGTTTTATGCAAACATGCTGGCAGCATAGACACACTGGACGACTTCTACAAATTACAACTAAAAAATAGCATAACATCAGCTGAAAATACTGACTGCCCGACTCCCAAGTTTGTAAAATCTAATCAGTTCATTACAACAAACTAAACTGAACCAGTAAAGCCTACATTTCACCAATTCATTTATAATAAATGCGAGATGAGGCTTTCGTGGCAGTATCTGTTATTTTCTTCAGGAATGTTACGCAGCGTAGGCAGCACATTCCTTCGAAAGGTAAAGCTGTCCCTGTGCTTAACTAATTCGGCACTACGCCATGAAGGCGTATGGGGTAGTGGATGTATAGATCCACATTTTCTTGACCACGGCACTAGCTGCAGGTGAGTGGTGAGCTTTACCCCCGGGGAAAGAGCCTCCGGTACCCACTGGATAGGAGGTTGGGTGGACCCCAGAGCCGGTCTGGACGATCTGGAGAGAAAATCCGCCCCCTCGGTCGTCCAGCCCGTAGCCAGTCGCTATACCGACTGAGCTATCCCGGTCCCACATTCCTTCAAACGTTGGTAAAAAAAATCTACCAAACTACATGGCGTCATAACACCAGAAGACAATAATTCTTAATGTTAATAAAAATGGAAATCTGATCTGTTGTTAGATTACAAAACAGGACGTTTTGCGGTGTCTCAGCTGGTAGAAAGTTACAGGAAATGCAGCAAGGGAAACAAATTCCACAACTTCGGCTGTTGCCTACAGCATCATTAGAAATGTTGGTCAGTTAATGTTGTTAGGGGTAGAATTCCTAATTGCTCAGAGCAATGTGGAGGTGTCAATCTCAACACACCCTAGTCATATTTTCCTTTTGCTTCAAGACATCAAGCATCCGTCAAGTATCTTCTGTACATGCACATCGGAGCCTCCTAAAAACATTATATATATACACGTCATTAACTGTACTTAATACGACCCGCAGGAAACGGTTTCGGTAGTCCCCAGTGCCGTCACGGGTGTTTAGTTCCGGTTTGTGATTGGATAACTGAAAACCTTACCGGAAGTATGACAAGTGGACGAACAAATGACTAGGCATAACATGTAATGGCTTTCCTTCCCAAGTGAACGAGTTTCTGTACAATTTAAATACCACTGCTGGTACACAGGAGATAGCGAACATGAAACAGGAAAGAATATTTAGCTGCAAAGTGTTTTTAGGTATGACAAATGGATTCATACGAAACAAGATCATGATCGTGACGATACTTCATGACTACCCTTCTGTCTGACGCTCCCCCACACAAACATCTGGCCACCCAAATTACCTAATGAACATTCGTAAAACCTAAACAGACATCTACATTGAGTGATCAGCTAAATTACGTTTTGGTCCGTACTGGTCCAATAAAACCCATACATAATGCCCGATTCGAAATTTCGTAGTATTCTTCTGAGCTACTTCCTTTCCAATTCCTTCCTATTCACTGACATCGGATCACCTGATGCCTTTAGTCCCACAGTTATGGAGTTGTTTGCAGACTCGTTAAAAAACATTACACATAAATTACTATACGAATGTGTTACGTCTACATTTGGTTTGTGAACTGTATCATAGGCACATGTGGAGTGTTTGTAAGGCTGTGTCAATATCTGCTCTGGTACGGCGAGAAATGTACTGAAACAATGCATTTGGAAGACTCCCAAAGGGATGTCATTAAGTGATGATACGAATTGTGGTGATAATGTGAATTGAATGGGACTTACCGTTGAGATCTGTTCCTGCGTGGCGCACGACGTATTGGGGACTATAGTATTTGGTGCTAGGACCCCAAGGGGCTGTCTGGGGCTCATTGCAGCAGTGTTGACAGTCGTTGAATTCGTAAGCCTCTGGACTGGGGCGGCAGCCGCTGCTGTTGTGGTCGTCGTAGTGGTAACTGCAGTTGCGACGCTGCCAACAGCCGTCGCGACAGAGGGATGCGTCTCCAGGGCGTACTGGAGATCACAAATGTAGTCTATGACGTATTGGATCACCTCCAGTTTGGATAATCTTCTGTTCTTCGGCATGAACGGTACAAGTTCTTTCAATTTCGACAAGTACATTTGTATTTCCTCATTTTCAACATCGCGCCTTTGCCGATGCACGCGGCCCGCTGTTACCCCACCAACACTCGCGGCACCTGATGCACAAACCGCTGTGATAGCCTTCATAATTGAATAGCGATGAATTCACTTCACACTTCGAAAGGTACGTTTGCAACACAAACTAGAAGCACACACCTATGATGAAACCAGCCAGCTAATGTCTCCCCAACAGCACTGTCACTACTATACATACCCTCGGTTTCCCCTATAAACACTTGTTACCACTCCCTCGATATTATGACGTCACGAAAAGGGATCCAATCAAGGAGTGACGCAGCAATGACGGAGGTGGAGTTTAGTACAGCTGTACCCAATCGCAGGGTCACGTTGTAAGCGTTTGGGGGAAGAGGAAATCACCGACTCCTCTAGTTGGGGTTGCAGAGACATCTGTGATGCGTAATGCAAGTTAGCTTTCGTGCCATTGAGTAATTTCGTATGTGGGAAAAATATTTTCAAAACAAGTAGTCAATGAATATAATTCTAGTGTGAGGGAGGGGAATCACAGACGGCCTTCAATTGAATAAATACAGCGCTTATAAGGGCAAGAAATATCTCCACGACTTTTCTTTCCGTAAAGGTTTCACACAGCGAATAATTTGACGAAGATAATCATGTACTCTGGGTCCAAGTGAAACACAGAGGAGCTGAGAGATAAGAAGTTTGCATCCTGAAAATGACATGATGACGAAACTGCTAGCATTCTTTGTAAAATTTGATGTTTTCACGGCGGTGACTGTGAAGAAAGCCAGCCGTCTTCTGGGATGTGGCGCCGTATAGATGTTGTGTGAACCTACGTTTCGGAGGAACGTATCGCCTCCATCTTCAGAGTAGAAAAATCCGTGAGCGAGGAACCAGCTGCCACGCATTCTTGCTAGCATTCCTAACCTCAGAATTAAACTAAGGTGGTTCGTTGGCCCGATTTATCTCCTGGGGAACAGTTCCGCGTCCTGGCTGGACAGGGGCAGAAGGATCCTTGCCCCCTCAATGTGGATGGCCCTACCCTGACTGCAGTAACTTGCTCTGTCTCTGTTTCTGGGCCAGTCTTCTCAGTAGTTCCTAAAAGAATATAACAAGAACATGGAGATGAGCCCTTGAGAAGCTGCCAGTGACTCATTACTCAAGAATTTCCTAATTTACGGAACTCGAAACATCATTACCGTGTTCACAAGAGCCCTCATCCGGTCCTTGTCCTGTGCCGGATGAATCCAATCCATACCACCGCGTACTATTTCTCTAAGATCCATCTAAATAGGAGCCGGGATTGCTCAGTCGGCACAGCGACGGGCTACGGACTGGACGAACGGGGCTCGATTCCTGTGAGAGGCAAGAGATTGTTCTCGACTCCATAGTGTGCGGACCCGTTCTGGGGCCCACCCAGCCTCCTATCGAATGTGTACTGGAAGTTCCTTCCCCAGGGATATAGTAGCTATGGCGTGAACTTGACCATTCACCTCTATCTAGTGCCCGCGGTCAAGAACGGTGGAGTTATACCTCCACTTTCCCGTATGTCTTTTTGCGTGGTCCTTAATTAACTAATTAACTGTCCCTGTAACAGTCCGTGGAGGCCCATAGGGTTGTGAGACGTCGAGGCTCTGACATTTTCTAGACAATCGGCTCACAGATGGCGATGAGTTTGTCAGCTTTACTCGCCGGCCGCCTTGTAACCCCCAGGAAGATTCCTTGTACTCATTTCTGTTAGAGGCTGAGTCGATCCCAGGGCCATAGTGCTGCTGGAAGAGATACGTCAATTGAAATATCCAGTGACCTCACCGGGATTCGAGCCCGTGACCTTCTGGCTTGTAGCATAGTGCCTCAACCAACTACTCTACCGCGATAGGAACATCTTTACATTAGTTTACCATTTTAATATCCACCCACCTACGTCTTGGTCTTCCTAGTGGTCTCTTTCCTTGTAGTTTCCCGCCAATAACCTATACGCAATCCATACATGCTACATGCTCTTGTTGCAGTTGTCTTCAACTTCGTAATGTCCCACCCCCCATTGGGTCCACATATTCCCTAGACGAGTATGAGTTCTTAGTATCAGTCTATTTGCGCTAAGCAACTATAGTTTGTCCCGTTACTTGGTTGCTACGCAACAAGCACACTTGTTCATACAACTTTCTTCTCGGAGACTTAGGAATGGTTTGATTTTCGCACCTGAGCAACTAGTTGGATAAGTGGACTCCATTACGCCTGAGCCGATATTTCCAGTGTTGTCCAAACTGTCAGAAGCAATCTGTTACAGTTTCCTTGAGTATAACGATGCTGTGTCAACTGTGAGGGCGGTGTTATTGGCAGAATTACAGTAGAATCTGCCTCAAGTGTCATGGTGTAGATGAATTCTGATATAAATCTATACTATGTTAAGGTGAACAAATGTAAAAAGGTAAAGTTGTCCCTGTGCTTAACTAATTAAGCACTACGCCATGAAGGCGTATGGGGGAATGGTAGTATAGACCCATATTTTCCTGACCTCGGCACTAGCTGGAGGTGAGTGGTCAGCTTCACGTCCCGGCCGCTTTATTCCCTGGGAAAGAGCCCTCGGTACCCATTGGCTAGAAGACCGGGTGGGCCTCTGAGCCTGTCTGACGACATTGGAAAATGAAAATTCTTGTCCCCACCGGGACTCGAACTCCGTCCCCATGATCGTCCAGCCCGTAGCCAGTCGCTATACTGACTGCGTTATCCCGGCTTCCAGATGAAGGTAAATATTGAAGTAAAAGCTTCCTTCAATGTACCACCGGGGAGAGAACATCAGATACCACTGGACGGGCCCCAGAGCTAGTTTGGACACAGGAATGGTGAAGAAAAATCTTACCGGGAATTGAACCCTAGTCGTCCAGCCGGTAGCCAGTTTTATCGCCGACTGAACCGAAGTAGCAACGTGTTCTGTTTTATAAAAATCAAATATTATTTCGCAGGTTCACATAAGAAATGATCAGAGTTCGTGAACAGTTCGATGTCTAGTGAAAATGCTTGTTTCACGACAAAAATTTTGTAGGAAAAAATTAATGAATTTGTTTTCTCTTCCTTCTTATTCCGTGGATTGATGGTTACCGTGGTGATGACAAGTTTCAGGGGCTGAACCCAATTGTCTCCTCCTTTTTCGTCGGAATGTATTCATTCCGGAGTGCCTACGAGTACTTACCGCATCGAGCAGGTTGGCACGCCTGACGCTGCAACCCTCTAAACATGTTCCTGTTGTGGTCTTGCAGGTTATGACACTGTAGTCTGTCAAGTAGGAACCAACTTTTTGGTAGAGTACACTGTCTCCATCTTCAAGGCACGACTATTTGCCTGAGTTTATTCTGTGTTTGTGTTAGGTAGCGGACTTGCGACCGGCTGATCCCCCGTCCAAGGAGTCCTATCGACTGTCTATAAGATTCAGAAACGGAAATGAAACGAAGAGTTTCACGGATGCCCTAAGCTCCAAGTGGGAACAACAGGAAATGGATGGATGGATGAGTGCCCACAAATAGGCAAATAGGAAGGAAAAATAAATAACTGATGTCAATGAGGAACCCCTGTAAGTCCAAGGCCGGGTATACAATTGTGGGGGGCACCGGTGCAACCAAAATGTAGAGATCCCTTTTCAGTAAAGACAAATTTAGTTTACTACAATAACTTTTTAATGTGTTTTCTTATTTCTCAAACAAACTGATAATACTAATTTTTCATGATTTAGAAAAGCAGATATCTCAATAAAATCTATGGATTCCATTTCTGCTTTGTGGAGGCCCCCAGGGGGGTCGCCCCTGTCACTCACCCTTAAATCCGTCCCTACAGACTCTATAGGGCCTATTACATGTAAGGTCATTTGCAGGACCTGTGATAAAAATGAAAAGAAATGTATCTCATTCATTCACTGTTAGAATACAAAGCGTCAGAACCTTTGTTAAGATGTTACCGAGCGCGGTGTAGGTCGAGGTATTGGAAACCAATTTACGTATATTAATCATTTCGCTTGTTATACGCTTAAACGATGTTTTAGAAACGGAAGCTGTAAAATTACGAACCGTTTTCCTTAATAGGAAAGCCGCTTTAATGGGAATTTTAATTCAAGAATTAGGTGTGATAAAAATGTACGGGGTCTGAATTGAGAAATTCGCGTAATAATGAGCTTCACAGTTTTCACTCTTACTCTGAAGTCAGCGGCCTCCGTAGTCTAGAGGTAACGTTCCCACCTCATGACTCGTGGTACGCGGGTTCAAACCCGGCAGAGGTCGTGGAATTTTTAAGGGCGGAAAAATTCAGGGAACAAGTCCTCCGGGAGGGACTTTAAGCCGTGGGTCCCATGTCGTAGCTTTACGGCACGTAAAAGAACCTCATATCTCCAAAGGAGGTCACTGAGCTAAATTCAAGGACATTTCCCGCCCAACAGTAGTCTCTAACGCCTCTGATAGATGGGGGAAGCATTATAGATACCGCCAAGCCAGTAGATGCCGAACTCGCTGGCTCGGTCGGGACTGATGGTACGCACCAATATCGGTAGGGAATAGAGACTGGTAGAATATCATAGAGGAAAGCACAATGGACCAATACTGGTCCACCCACCCTCTCCAATAATTAACTAACTACTCTGAAGTCATTTGAAATATTTCAGTTAATAAAATATGCATTGGATGAGACACGTCGCACGCATGGGTAAACAGAGTAGAGTTACATTTTCGTTGGAAACCATCAAAGGAATGACCTGGAAATATTTAGTAGAATAAGAAAGATCAATAACAAAATGCAACCTTAATTACTTTAACTCCTAAAGATAAACTCCGTGGCCTGTAGTCCGCAAGCGAACTAAACCGACCGAGCGGCCGCCGCTTGTCGGCGAAGTTAGTGCCAACTTTTTCCGATAGATGGTGTCACGTGGTCAGCGCAACTTTTCCCTACGGCCGTTAATCTCGGTTTTCTAGACCGGAGCCGCTATTTCCTTGAAATAACTCCTCAATTCTCCTCACGGGGCTGAGTGGACCCCGTTACTCATAAAAATATGAACTCATAAAATGCCAGCGCCAATAAGATCGATTCTCTGTATCCAATACGTTCACCGTCGCTAATTATTCCATGCAACTACCTTCTGGCGATAGAGGTCTCGGAATTTATAAAGAATATATTCATGGAATTAAACTAAAACCAAAATTCAAGAAAATTTGACGAGACGTTTAATACAAACTTGGATAGTATGT